CTCAGTGTGCTTCCCTGAGTACTGACACCTTAACTACTGGTCATTTTCATGGGAGAACATTTTTATTTTCACCATGCTAGGGATTAGACCCAGGATCTCACATGTGCCAGGCACACAGGCTACCACTGAGCCACATCCCTGGGCCCCCACAGAAGGAGTCATTAGGGGAGAACAGTGTCTGGTACCAGGAATGGGTGGTAGAGAGGCATTCTTGCCAGCTCAAGGTTGATTTTTTTCCTGGTTTCTCATCAGGAGCCATTCTTGGAAAGGATGATTTATTCTCATGTTATAGATATCCTAGTTCCCATTTCAGGGCTTGAATTCTCATGTGCTTAGGCTCCTGGGTTTGACTTGACATCGTTCTCTCCCTGGCCCCTGTCTACAGACCTCCACAGCCTCGGGAGATGCCAAGGGGCCACAGGCCATCCTAGGCAGGGAAAGCAGGGTACCTATAGGTCTCCATGTTTCTCAAGCCTGGAGCAGATGCTCCCAGCCTGCACAGACGTGGGCTCCTGTCAGGGCCTGACAGCAGCTCTCCCCACCATGTCTCCCAGATGCCCCTTCGTCTTGGTCTTGGATGAGGAAGGCAGGACCACCTATGACCACAAAGGCTATGTGGTCCACAAGTGGAGCTGGATGTCCAAGACAGAGACCTTGCTCTCCCTAGAGTACAAGGTAGAGTACAGCACCACTGGGCCGGGGACTGGCCAAAAGCCAGGGATCCTGCCCATCAGGCATCCTGGATTGTCAGGCTCAATTGGTGGGTGGTAGCCAGGGTGGGTTGAAATGCACTGTCTACCACATACAGCAGCTGGTGGCTGCTGTGTTGACCTGCTGTGGGAATAGTTAACCTTATTTAATTTTTATTATTAATGTCATTATATTTTTATTGTACAAATACCCTTTACTTTATGAAGTAACATTTATAGTAATTGATAGCTCTATTTTTAACGTTGGTAAGTCTCAATATCAGTTCTTGTTTTCATAATTTTACTGCTTATGAAATAAAAAACCTGGAAGTCAGATGGCAGAGAGACCTAAAGTTTTTTTATCCATTTGGTTGTTCAGATAGCCATTCATTAAAGATATGTTAAATAATAATGCTGATTTTTTTAAATATGAAGTTTATTAATGGAGCTGTTGAGTGCACTTGCCACTCTTAGGACAGAGCATCCCATCACTGGCACTACTGGAATTGTGGGAAGTATACTACTTTGTTAGAACTTCATTGTAGGATGTTTTGCAGGGTTCTACTAGGTGCCTGCCAGCTGTGACAAGTCCCGTCTTCAGACAGTGCTACATTTAGCATCTAAGGGGCAGAATTTCCCCATAGGGAATAGAAAGGTAATCAAGACCCCAAAAAGAGCTCAAAGGTTCAAAGAAGTAACCAAGCACAGGGAAGCAAGGACGGGAGCTGCAGGAGATAAGGGCACACTTAGATTGAGATACAGAGAAAGACCACAGAACACAGAATGCACCCAGCTTGGCCCGAGAAGGGGCCCCAAAGAGAATGCTCTAAACAGAATCATTTGGGGTGTTGGTGATTGCCTGCCTCTGCCCCTGGTATGTCCTCTTTAATGGCCACTGGGGCCTCACCCTTAGACCACAGTCCTCTGGGTCACACCTCACTCAGATTTCTCTCCTCCATGCTGCCCAGCCCAGGAGCTTAGTGGTCATTAGCAGTCAGCTCCATGATGAAGCAGTAGTGGCTGTTTGCACATCAGAATCACCTCTAAGGGGGCTGGAGAGATGGCTCAGTGGTCTAAAGCACCTACTTAGAACAAGCTTGGCAAGGCATCAGGGACCGCGG